TTCAGCTGTTCTGTGGCATTTGTTAGTCCAGCCTTGTGTCTCGTCTCGTTAGCTCAATAGATCAGTAGTCCAGTACCTTGTTAGCTCTGACGTGCGTATTTTTTTTCCCTCGATCTACAGCAGCGAGAGCTCATGGCAACAACGCCCCGCCATGGGGGTCTAGTGGCTAAGGTATTCTGCTGCTGACCCACAGGCAGCGGGATTGAATGCCCGCTGTGGCGGATGCCTTTTCGATGGAGGTGAAAATGCTCTAGGCCTGTGTGCTCAGATTTAGGTGCACGTTAAAGAACCCCAATAGGTCGAAATTTCCAGAGCCCTCCTCTATGGCGTCTCTCATAATCATATGGTGGTTTTGGGACATTAAACTCCCCTGATCAATCAATTATAGTGACGCCACAGAGTACGAAACAGAAGTTTCTTTGGCTGAAGCAGAAGGCAAAAATAATTACCCCGGTAAAAGAAGTACAAAAATGCGATGTATGGCCGAGGATTATGGTTTCTCGCCTCGCTGTTGACAATACTGAAGTCCAAAGCGAGCATCTTAAATGCACTAACGTCGCGCACGTCTACCAGCCAAAGAAGATGACCCAGCCAGCCCATGAAAAACTTGACAAGGCAGTGTATGCTTGGTTTTGTGAAACGAGGGCTAAAAAGATACTGATCAGCGGTAGCCTAATTCAGCAGAAAGAAGAAAACACTGAGCTACGGCTGCATTTTAGGCATCAATAAAAAACTTCAAGGAAAGTGCCAGACGGCTCAACCGATTGAAGGAGCGCCATGAGATCGTCGGGAATGTGCTATGTGGGGAGTCCGCTACTGCAGACTGTGACAGTGCATTATGTGGATCGCGTCGAACGCTGCTGACATCATCGAGAAGTACGCTGTGTCCGATGAGTAAAATGCGGACATGACCAGGCTCTTCTATCAAATGGTACCAACAAAGACGCTCGACTTCAAAGACAAACTATGCCATGGAGGCAAGCAATGGGTAAAGCAAGTCACGCTGTTGCATTGTGCAAATATGGATGGGTCCGACAAACGCACCTTCTTGTAATCAGCAAAAATGCCGAGCGCTTCAAGGGCACGAAAAAACTGCCAGTGAAGTACGTTGCCAACAAATGTTCATAAATTACCAGAGCCATTTTCACTGACTGGATTGTTGCTTTTGACAACGACACGAAACAGTAAGACCACAGTGTTTGCTTGCCTCTAGACGATTGCTAGGCACATCGCCTGGAGAGTAACGTCAAGCTGATCAACATTGCGGCGATGTTTTTCAGGGGCAAAGCTCCTTATGGCGTGGCTTGTGCATCCCCGTTGTGGGTAACCGCCCCTCGTTAAGAGGGGACATGGTCTTAGGGCTCTCTCATTTATTTTTGAACCAAATGTGACAAAAGTTGGCATGCTTACTTAGTTTGTTCTCCAGATTTTAAAAATGTAGTTATTTTTTCTGTAGCTTCATTAGTTAATTAAATAATCAAGATAATAATTTCTATTGTTCTTACCATGATATAAAGATAACCACCTGTCAAAAATTTATAAATAACATAGGGGTTGACAGTAGAAAGCATAAGACATGCAACATAAAGAACCACTTTTCTGAATGGGTCATTATTTCTTACTTTACAGTACACTAAACTTCACAGCCCTGAATGTGGCCATTGTGTGGTCACACAAAAGACTAGTTTGAAATACTTGCATTAAGAGAAATCAAAATCTGCTTCCTATGTTGTGTGCTCCAAACATATAGCTTCATGCTGCAAAATAAAATATTCTGCTATCTGTAATAGTTTCAGATATATTGCAATAATTTTCATGCAGGGTGTACAAAACTGCCATTTTGAGAAAATGAAGAAAACAAAGAATTCTAACATTTTTAACTGTAAAAATGTATGCACTTATAATTACATAGCCATTGACATATAAATGAATGCTAAAAGCTTAAGGAGTGCAATGCTGCAAGCTGATCGAAAATTGAATGAGTACTTCTTGAATTACATTCATTGCATGTAACCAAATACAGAAATATTTATATTAAAATCAAAAATAATGCTGATCATTAAAAATAGGCTCCCAGCATTGTTTTTTGTGCACATTTAGCTACATTGTGCCAAAACAATTACAGCTCTAGCTGTCCTAGGTCCACTTTTACTGAACAATCAAAAGAAAGTGGTCAAAATCTGTGCTTCGAGAATAATGCTGTTAAAACTTGATTTCGCCGTTCCGAGGAAAAAATATCATGGCACACATACTTTTAGTCAGTTAATATGCACCGGGAATGTAATGGGACTGATTGTTTGTATGAGCGTGTCATTTCTTGTAGTCCTGTAGCAAGTTGTCGCCGTGTGCTCGTCTACCGCGATGCCGCTTATCAGTTCGGTGACTGTACTGACGGGGATGAGCGACAAATGTGCGTGCGTCATCCACGATCTGTCAAATAACGCGGTGATGTTTTTCGGCTTGTCCAGAATAAGTTACCCGCAAGTGTCGCGAACCAAAGTTGCTTCCTCGCTCATCGATTTCAAGGCTACACGAGTGCCGAGGTGTTAGTTTCCTTTTCACGTAAGACTGCCGCATTTTCGAGCGAAGATCGCGACAACGTTGCGAACAAGTCATTAAAAGCAGTCTACTTGTTGCCAGTAGCCTCCATTGCGGGGGCCGCGAGCATGTTCACTTCGAACGGATTGACTTTCTGTTGTTCGATGATGTGCGGCGTACTCCACTCTGACGACCCGTCGCGCAGTTCAAGGTCCTTTCGTCAGGCGGGGGGAACCACGACATCGGCGGGTTTAGCGATAAGACTGCGTTTCCGTTCCGTCACTACAAAGATTGATATCTCTTGTAGCTTCACTTCTGCTTTTTACTTGCCATCCTCTAACTGATGAGGCTGCAAAACACAGCCGTTCTCAGTAACGTTGTTGGCAACCAACGGGCTCGTACGTGAGTTAGGCCCGCACCGGTGACTCGGCGACCCCCGTTGACCACGTCAAGTTCGTTATCCTCGTTGTCCTGAGCCATAGTGGGGATGTTTCTGAAGTTCACAGTGAACGAACGACCGCCACACCCACTTCACAAATTACTGTAGCACGGAACTTATTTACTGCCGCAAGCAGTCAAAGCACCATGACAAAATAGAGCATGTCCGTGCGCGTCACGATGGTGAAGCAGACGCCGAAAGCGGCCTTTGGCCAATCGGATGCCTAAGTTTGGTCACGTGCCCCAAGCAGCCAATTGAATCGCGCACTAGTGCTTCTCGATGACGCGTTTTTGCTAAAGAACCAATGAGCAAGGTGAGCCAGCGGTGGCGGGAAATTGAAGATGAAGATCGACCCTTCCAAACGAGACCAAGATGAACACGATAGCTCGTGTGTAACGGCAACATTTTGGCGCCGAAAAAGCGCGATTTTAGCGTCAATTTGCGCTCACATTCATCTCACAGGGATGTTATAAATTGATTTTGTGCCAGAAATAATGACGCGAGAAGCTAGAAACTTCTCAGATAAGTGCAAAAATAGGCGCAGATTCCGAAAATGTCAGCTTCAAAAAGTCTATTTTTTTGCCAATTTTGGCCTTCTAAGACCCGTATCCCCCGTTAATTCTTGAACTGGCCTTAGAGATGGGTACTTGTACTATACGCAGAAAAATGCAAATGGTATGACACTAGAGAACGTTACTTGTAGAAAAGAAGGATTGACGTCACACGTCCAGAAGGAGAGAGAGAAAGACGATTGCGCGACTACGCTTGCATGTTCTGTGGTGGCATTGTACCCCAGGGGGCGCTCTATAGTACAATAGAAGCGCCATGTTGGCGCGTGCGCATTCAGAGGCTCGGCGTCGGAGGATAGACAAGGCTGCTAAGCGGCATGCACGTGGGGCGGCGGTGGCTCGTGGTCGAAGAAGGGACTCTGACGTGCAAGCACGCGAAGCAAAAGCACGTCGCGAAGCTGTGCGAGGACCCTGCAGTACGACAACAAAAGGTCGAATTGCCGCGGCAGCTGCGTGCGAACCCTGCTTTGCCCCACTCTCCATCATTCACCCTGTCAATATGCTGTCATTTTTCCCCCCAGCTACGCACATTTTTCCCCCCAGCCTTTAGATCAAGGTGTCATCAACAGCTTAAAGAGCTCAATGTCTAGAATCCCCTCCAAATTGTCACCTGGTGCTTGCATTTTCATTTCGCATAAGCAGTTCGCCGAAGCTCCATGCTCAAAATAAGGATTCCCATGCTCTTATCATCTTAAAAAGCATATCTTAGCCACATGAATGAGCTTTCATTTCTACGTTTAAGATGCGTTCTTCTCAAGTTGCAATTTTGGGCAACTTCTTCAGTTTAGACATCATATTTTTCGTTCTTTTGATGGCCAGATTCAGATGAAATTTTTCTTGAATAGTCCTTGTCAAGTGATGAGTGCAATTATCTTTAAATCTTGACAAGACATATAATCGTTATGATCTTCATGTAAACAATAAAATTGAGATTTTAAGATTTCTAACATTACAATATTTCTGGTTCATTAAAATGTCTTTTAACTACCTTTTTAGTTAGTTTTTGCATTCTAGAGTTAATGTAATGCAATATAAGGGATTAATAGCTCATAACCATAAAGGGTCAGTGGCAAGAAACGTGTGTCCAAAAAAACCTACATCTTACATAGTGCCATGGTACAACAGGAAAACTATGCAACAAAGTACAAAACTGATTCCATATTTGAAATCGGCATGAAAATCTGTGCAAACAGCGAAAACTTGATTGCTCTAGGCAACAGATTAAAAAACCATTTTTTTTCCAGTAGTACCAAACCTTAATTGCGATTCTCACTTTTAGCAACTTAATTGTATGCATGCTAGACTGTGCACAACTATAGCGTTGGCTGGTCAGCTTTATGCATTCTACATAGGGGTATGACTGGCATGGGGGATATGAGACATTTTCTTTGGGTTTGTGACACTCCAGTTCAGCTTTACAGTAATTGTGCAGGTATTATGCCAGTAACACTAACCACAGCACCGTTGAAGAGTCCCCGGTTGCGACGGAGCACATCGAGCAGGTCGGGTGCGGCCCTGCGGCAGTGGAGGAACAGCGGCAGGTTCCCACAGGGACGCACCAACTGAAGCTGCAGCTCGAGGTAGCGAAGCTGCGTCTCCCGGTCACAGAACTGTAGACGCTCATAGTCTGCACACAACACAGTCGTGAAACCATTAATCCTTTAATGCCTGAATAATGAAACTGCCGAAGAAAATAAACATTTCCATTTTTAAGCTTTAAATAGCCACATTAAAATGATTCCACAGTTAAGTTATCTAAAATGCACCTTTGATGCATACTTTTATGTATGTCGCAAATTCTTCATGTGCCACAGAAGTGAGAACCTTGTAATAAAAAACATACTTAAGAACTGCGCAACACTTCATGTGCCACGTGTTCAGTGCCTACACACCGAACACCGTAATTACTCGCATAATTTACATACTTTTTTCGCGATTTTGTAGCCCCAAAAAAGGGGCGCGCAAATTAAGCGGGGATTTTGCGAGCGCATACGAAGTATTGTGTCACCGTCCTAATGCACAATGTATATATATTTAGAAAAAGAGGAAATGAATTGTAGCACTAACAAAGTATACTAGTTAATTTTTAACGAATCAGCACGTACTTTAACCAGTCAGATCAAGTCACACACGGTCTAGCGGGAATCACTGATCGTGAAGTCCAATTGGGAAGCATCGTTGCAGCCGCTGCCTCTTCACTTCAGTTTAATACCTGAAAGACCCCGGTTAGGGGGTATTACATAAGTGGTAGGTCAAGAAATGTGGGTTACAGAGAGTGATCTTCACAACAAACAATATGCAGTTATGCTGTCCACAAAGATGATGGACACGTGATGGTCGCAATGTCACGGGGGAGGCCATTCCAGTCGACTGCTGTGCGAAGAAAAAATGATGCAGCAAAGGTAGTAGTGTGAGCACGTGCGCGTGTGACTGATAAAGAGCCGCTCGTGCGGTGAGATAAGCGCGATGGTGGGATGATGTAAGGAGCTTGATTGAAGGAACTGTGAGAGAATTTGTGAAACAAACAGAGACTGGCGATGCGGCGATGCATGCAAAGATTAGTAACCACCCTCTCGAAGCGCATCGTCATAAGTTCAGTCGAGCGCGTTCGAACGCACCATTTTCTTGAAGCTCTTTCGACCATGCTGGGAGAAACTATACTCTGTTTCAGAAGTTCCCTTTAGCACTGTGGAGGCTACAGGCCCCTCAGCCAATAAGAAGGGTGCTTAGCCCCTTCACATGTATTCATTTGCGCCATGTCGTCTGCTCACCGTATTCACGGTGTCTGCTCAACGAATTGAAGTTATGGCAAGGTACCTTTTGGCGTTGCATATGTGGTTGCCAGACTGGAAGGGTCAGTGTTGCCAGATTGCCGCTAAATTTGACTGCAAAATTTTTTTTGTAGTAGTGGCTTCTCCGTGAGAATTTGGTGCCATCCGCGGTGCATTTCACGAACGAGCGACGTTGGCCGTTTTAATTAACGGAATGAACCGCGCCTAGCAGTAGACGAGCGTGGCGCTGCCATGCAATTAAGAGGCCGTTTTAATTAACGGAATGAACCGCGCCTAGCAGAAGTCGAGCGCGGTTCGATAAAGCAGCTCGATAAAGCATCCTTCTAGGCGTACATATCTGTAGCATATCCGACGTACCCCGATTAACCAGCCTTGGAACGCTTATTCCTCACATGTATATACGAGTCCGAACGATATGTCTTGTGCTGACACAGCTAGGGGAAGCGTAGCGTCCCCCGTCATAGCGCGCGGTCGACGCGACACGATCAGCTGAGAGAAAAAAAAAAGTAAGGGTGAAGGGGGGCAGCGCATCACCTTCTGCGACTCTATTCAGTTTTCCCCGTCATCCCTAATACTGAGACGCGATGTCTTAATTGCAGAGCTGCGCACACAGCAAAAAAACGCGCCCCAACTTCTGCTAGGTGCGGTTAATTCCGTTAATAAAAACGGCCTCTTAATTGCACGGCAGCACCACGCTCGACTTCTGCTAGGCTCGGTTCATTCCGTCAATTAAAACGGCCAGCGTCGCTCATGCATTCGCGAAATGCACCGCGGATGGCACCGAACTCTTACGGAAAAGCCACAACTACAGGAGAAAATTTTTCAGTCAAATTTAACGGCAGTCTGGCAACAGCCACCCCAAAGTCTGGCAACTGACTTATGCAACGCCAAAAGGAACCTTGGCGAAGTTATTATGACTAGTTTATTAAGTTAAAGGTGCAGTAAAGCTATTAAACAAGCAACTACACCGGGAACTTGAATAACCGTGAACTTGTTGCTCTGCTGAAGATCAGTAGAATCTCATGCCGGCGAATAACTTCACTTTGTGGCTGTTTCTCTTCGACGCTGCTTATGACTTTGTCATGTCTATTTCTCTGTCGACGCGTTCCTTCGTGTCTCCCACTGCAACGCTCCTTTTCTCTTTCTCTCTTTTTTTGTTTCCACCGAAGGAGGATCCGATGCGCACGAAATACTGTGCGAGATTGCATGTCTGATATTTAGAGATGCAGCGTCCTTGGTCTGACGGCACAGTCCGAACACTGCCTTGGCACCTTAAGTGCAGGTGAAGCTAAGCAAGCAGCATATCTAACTAATATCGACAATAAGTACCTGGTGCTTTAGTCTCTGGGTGAGATGAAAGAAATCGGTGGCTGATTTCATCATTTGTTTACTGCATCAGCACAGTGGGTGTCTAGCAAGAGCAAGTACGGATTGAAGGGAGCAGTCACTTCTGCACTTCTGAAAACAATTAAATGAGGAAGAAATTATTTCGAAGAAGAATAAACATATCACGAACCAATGTGGTATAAAACACACCAAACAAATGCCAATTCTAGCCAACCCTGTCAGTTTTACGACACTTGTATGAGGGACTACACTTCGCTACGCAAGTATGTGGCTTTCTTACACCCGTAGCTTTGGTAGTGCTAAACCAAAGTGGTGAAACAGAGTATAGGTCCCGCGGCACGGCAATACCGGAAGAGCTAGACATCCACACATAATTGAAAGACCTCCTTCAATGGCAGAAAACTTGCATTAGCAAGCGCCCACTCTTCTGCTTTCTCGAGTACCGGTCGCGCCGGTCGTCACGTTCAAGTACGTCGCCTTGAAGTGCTTTGCAGCGGCACACTTCCGTTTTCTTCGGCGAAATTTACAACAGCGAGCTCCAGTTTCGCCATATATATATAATTACTGTAGCCCATTGCAAGGGAACCGTAAAAACGTGCCGGTCGAATGGCGAAACCTAATTCCGATATCGACCAAGCGTGCGTTGCAGTGCAGACGCAAAGAACAAGATGAACAGTTGGCGCGACAGGCTCTCGCAAACCTCCGATGCAGAAAGTCATCTGTGCCGTGACGTGAGCGTGCATTCTGGCCATTATGGTGGTGGTAGAGATTGGAAGATAGGTGGAGGCAAATGCTCGAGCAGTTCCAGTGACCCATCAACAGGTTTGTGTTCGGGTGCGATATTCTAGGGACCCTAGTTCAGGGGAAATCCTCAGAAGAAGATATTTCGCACTTGCAGCCTGTTTGACTATGCTTGTCTGCTCAGCAAGGTGAACCGCATTGGGCCGAGGCATCAAAAGGTCTAAAGGTGCGTGCGCGGGTAAGCAGGCTCGGGTGGGTTGGGGAGCGTGAAACGTGCGAGTAAATATTGTACTTTCTGAAAAGCTCGCAAAATATTAGGGTGGACAAATTATGTGCATAAATGCGGTAAATGAAATTATTGAAGATAGAACTTTCATCAATCAGGCGAGATAAAGCGATGAAGTGAGCGCACTTGCATGCAATTGGCGCTCTCTACCATCAGCTACAAAACAATGGGTTCTAGCGTAAAATACACTGCACCAGATAGTGCTGGATTTTTCATACCAAAAGCTACGTTCCCTGTGAGTACTTGACAGCGGCACGCATTCCGTGACTTATTTGCTTGATGTTCTTCGGTATGTTGCAAATTCATGACACTCGGCAGTGAAGGGTTAAAAGGGCTATGACCCACATTTCTTTCTCATAATATGTGTAATGTGCAGTAATCCTTGTGCCTTCTCAAAGAGGCTGGCAAAGTTTCAGCGCACTCAGTATTAATTCATCAGGGAATATTTTCATAAACACGCGAGTGGCCCGAAAATCTGAAAACACTCGAAAACCATGACATAACAAGCCACCTGCTTTGCGAGCGTCGATATGCCGGCCAAAGAATAGGTTTTGTGACCAGCTGCATGCACAATGAAGCTATTTGAGCTTTCTTCAGCTTGGAGTTCAAAATTGAATGAATTTAAGTGGCTGAAACTTGGGTAAAAGACGACCGTGTTAGGCTATAAATCACATGACGTCACCAGGGCGAAATGGTCATCGCCAGCAGTGGAAAGAGTTTATAGCCGGCAATTTCTAGGCCTTATTTTGTAATGCAGTACCCTGTCACAGTCAATATTTAACACATGTTAAGGCACAATAAGTCATCTACTCATATTTTTTTTGCTGAAATTCGCTATTTGGTGAGTTATGGTGTCATGGCCCCTTCACCTCACATGCTTTCTTACGACACAACCAGAAATACTGTCCATTCTAAAAGAAGAGGCGTGCAAGCACAAAGACAAGAAAGAAGTCAAGACACCAGGCGCCGACTAACAACTGAACAAGTGTACAAGAGCTGAAAAGAAAGAAGGCACAAACACTTTTCTGTGCATGCATGCAACAGGCGAATCTATGAACCTGAAATGCATGGGGTCTACGTAAGAGACAACTATTTTGAGACTTGATTTCTTCTTTCAGCAGGTTAGTCTATGGTTGGCTGATGCATGCGTTACCAGTGTTATCGACATACCATGTCTCAATCGTTGAATGCGTTTCACCATTTCTGTGCTGGTACGAAGACTGCAGACTCACTGAACTTTGGCATGCACTTACATTTTCGACAATGTAGAAAAAAATTAGGTGAGCATCTAGTGAGCAACCTCTCATGTTCCAATAGCCTCTGGTTCACACAGCGGCCCTTCTCCCCTAGCAATAGTATTGCACAATGGTAAATTGTCCCAACGGGCACTGAGCCGTATCAGAAAGGGCAGGACATGAAATCATTGACACGTTTCCTGCTCAGGCACAAGTTCACCCAAAGCAATGCAAATAGCTGAAGCTTATGCAGTCAGACGATTGCCATGGTACTTAGGCATTACAGGATGACTGAGTGTTGAGCTAGTGACTATAGACTCATTATGCAAGAAACCAGTGTGCCGACGTGTACGTGCAGACATGCTACAATGACTATTGTTGGCAAACTGCTGTGCATCACATCTTGCCAACAGGCACTACACTGCTGTTCAGCTTTGCATGCTTCTGAGTGCACTCCATGGAAAATAAAAAGCCCTGACAGCATCGAATAAATGCTCTCGAGTTTTGTCACCAGTACAAATCATGTTTTCTAAGTTAGGCTGGCCACAAAACAGGCTTGTTTGGCATTCTCAATGAGCCCAGGCAATGAGAATCAAATGCTAATTTTCGGAAAACACTGCCACTTGCATATTCATGTTAATAACTCAAGCAGAGCCCATGAAATCTGGGAATTGGTAACAACGATGCTTTTGGTAAACTGGCAAGATAAAATGTCATGTCACAATAATAAATGAATAGCAGACTTGGTGATTGAAGCACCTTAAACAATGGCCAGTAATGACAAAAAACAATTACAACACAGCAGGACCACCCAATCACAGCACATAAACCTTTGACACCACAAACTTCATATAAAGCACATCTTTGTCATGGAAACTGACTGCATGATAGCCATTCCACAGCTCTATGTGTTTGTACTTTTGTGTTTAAGAATGTTGGTTCTTGAAGTGACATTTTAGTTGCAAGTGAAGCATTGATGTTATCAACTCTTTATACAGTGTTTTAATAAAGCCTTTATGCTTCACTGCTCCACTCTATTCTGATCTGTGCATGCTGGTGATTTCTATAGAAATGTGTAGCAGGAATGGTAGCACACATGAGCTAAACGATTGTGGGGTCCCCAAAATGTAGACGCATCTCTCGCTTCATTCTAAAGCTGACTAAATAGAGCATGAAAGCTTGTCCACTTGGTTTTGCCGTTCCTCTGCCGCTTAGCTGACCGCATTCCGACGAGCACTCACACTTTTCAAAAACATGGACTCTCTGCATTGAAGGTGAACATCTTTGACAGATATCTGTCTGGTTAGGTGAACTTTCATATTAATAACATAAACTTTCCAGCCAAGTTATAGTCCAAAGTTAAAAGTTAAGAACTGTGAACTGACCCGACGTTTCGGGACCAATTCAGTCCCTTCTTCAGGGGTATCACGGCTTTTTATTTTGTTTTATTTCCCTGCACCGGCTCGAAACGTGTGAGGGGCCTATGCAACACTCAGCTAAAGCTGTCTCGTGTTTCTGTCACTGTCCCTAGTCGTAGAAGTGGCCGTCCTCACCGAGCCCCATCTCGCCCAGAGCAGCCACCCTGCCAGCACCCTGTCGTACAAGCCCTGACAGCTGCTCCAGGTAGCGGTCTGGTGGACCATGCGGGCCCTCGAATTCTCCACACCTGGTTGGGTGGCAGCCCACTGTGCTCCACAGTAGGCCACCTGCATTGAAAGAATAAACAAACGATATATTCAAGAAGTTATAGCACTGTAAGCAACTGGCTAAGCTGTAATGGCCTTAAGTTTCTGTTGTGAAGATGGCCTTTGCAATCTAGTGGGCATAGTGAGGCTCATGATGATTAAAGTCAGGAAGTGCATGAATGGCACGTATGCACACCAACATGGTGGCATGGGGGCACTCCATATGCAATTTCACTTCTGAGTATCGAGCACTAAGTTGCTTTTTGCTATCTTTGACGCATTGCACTGGGGCAATCGCCCCCTGAGAACTCTAAAAAGAGCCCCAGAATGGCTCGGGACAATGTGAATGACGAACTCGTGGCAATCAGCAAAGTGGTCGCTGAGGCGCCGGAATAGGCCTAATGGACACTGGACCTGCAAACCCGGTGATTGCTGCAATGTCGCTGAAAGCGGCTCTATGGGCATTGGCACACGGTACTAGTGTGCTGTTTTGTCCATATATTTCATGACAATTTTGTGGAATAAACAGTTATAAGTAGCACTTGCTTCTCATGTATCTACTTGTGCATTGTATTTTTTGTGTGCTACGTAATTCTTGTAACAAGTTGTTGCAAAGGGTAGAGAACAAAGGAATACTTAGACTATGAGAAGCACAGGCAGAAGTTTGTTGAATGCCGTCAAGTTGTTGCGTACAAGATTGCATTTCTTGCGGGCATTATTATATCGGTCAAACAGGAGGGTGCGCTAAGGAGCATTTGAGCAAGACCGAAAAAGAAGCTACAGATATTCAACTATTTCTTCAACTACTGCATTTGCTGCCCATGTTTTGAAGATACCACTTTTTTGTCAAAATGCCATAACGAGTGCACCGACTGAATGATTTGTGGAGTTTAACGCCCCAAAACCCCTATATAATTACGAGAGACGCCGTAGTAGAGGGCTCTGGAAAGTTGGACCACTTGGACTTTTGTAATGTGCACCTAAATATAAGCACAAGGGCATACAGCATTTTCGCCTTTATCGAAAATGCATCCCATGACAAGTGCACATGTCTCATTTCAGAAGCTCATACCATTCACAATTGCGGCCAGGCTTGCGTAAACCTCCTCTCAATTTCCCACCTTCTGAAGAAGGTCATCATGTCTCCTGCGTTAGAATAGTCGACAAGATTTCCCGGGCCGTTCATCATGGCAACATCCAAGAAAGTCATCAACACCCTGAAGTACTCGGGAGCACCTGCGGACATCCCCTTTGACTAGTTGCCCAGTCTCTTCGAGGGGACGATTGCGGCCGCTGCATGGACAGAGCGAGACAAGTTGTGCTGCTTCTTCAATTACCTTTAATGTGGGGCTCTCCGACAGTTCCTCACTTAGGTTTCCGACATGAGGCATCTTGGGAAACTTATCTCAACGCATGAAGGAATGCTTTATGACAAGTGTCATGGATACTTTCCGTCAATTCAGCCATTGTCGGTTTATACCAGACAACGCCTGAAGGAATACTATAATGAAATAAATGTCTCTCAGACGCCTTGCCGACATAAAAGATGCACACCTCATACGAGGTCTCATCGACGGCCTTCCTGCGTATATAGGAACGTCACTTGCTGGGCTTATCACGTCTACACCAGCGACATAGCTTACAGCTGCACTTCGTATAGAGTCAACTAAGCAGAGAGTGAAGTTGCAGCACTTTCCGCCAGCTCACAATACACATATTAACGTAGCAAGCAACAGCACTTGTCAGTGTCCACCTTACGCTCCGGTACAAACACCTGCATCCAAGTGCAAACACTGCACAATGAATGGCTTGCCCCGACAGATGCACTGGCATAAGGAATGCCCACGACATGCAAGCATTCCTGCGTTCTCCACCGACCGGGGAAACGAGGAGGGCTACTTAAAGTTCATATAATTCAGTTTGATGATCTCATTAATGGGTATGCTGTTAGCGCTACTCATGATACCGGAGCTACGATTGCCTGAATCAGCGAAGCAGTGCTGGAGGCGCTTCATCTGCAAATAATGAGGAATTCATGCATCTCAGTTCAAGAAGTCACATCCTCTACCAATACTTCGGGTCACGTCAATATAAAGATACACAGAGAAAAGTAAAAAGAGAAATTCAGGTTGATGTTCTACAAAGCATGAAGACTTCTTGGCTTGGACAGTGCCTGTCTCTTTAACTTGTCTTCGGACTTTGACACTCTGACTCTACGCCAAAAGAATGACATTCTCCAACTTCTTGCACAACACCATGCAAAGGCTAACATGAATGCATCTTTGGAAGGAGTTGAGGTTTGCGGTTTACTGCATCTAAATGAAACTCAACAGTTCGCATTGAAGCAGCTTGTCCATAAGTACATTTTTTCGAAATCACAGACAGACATTGAGTGCATCAATGGCGAAATGCATCACATTCAGTTCCTCAACAATGTTCCTATCTGTAGAGCTCCCTATTGATGCTCAGAAATCGACAGCGTTGAAATGGACAGAAAGGTCGACGACCTTCTCACACAAGGCGTCATACGACTATCTACGTCACCATACGCTGTACCGGCAATTCAGGCAGAGAAAAAAAGAGAAACTCGCGCACACATCTGCATTGATTACCGCGAGCTAAACAAACTGATGGTTCCCGACTATCAAGCCATCTCTCACATCGACGGCATTCTCAATTCTCTCAGACAATCTACATACTTCTCGACGTTAGACATAACGTCAGGTTACTGGTACGTTAAGATGCGCCCTAATGACATTCAAAAAATGGCTTTTGTCACACGTACAAGTCACTACAAGTGGTTCATCACACTCCAGCCACCTTCGATTGGGCTGTCAAGTCCATATTGACAAAAACCGTTCGAAGCACATCATGAACTACTTTTATGATATTGTTGTCTACTATGACACATTTCCAGACCATCAGAAGCATTAAGGGGCCATTTTAAAAGCTTTCAAAAGCAAATGCATTAAGCTGAATTTGAATAAATGTAAATTTGCCCAAATCTCCATTACCTTGGACACAAGGTCTTGCATGGGACAGTCACTTTAAAACAAAGCAGCATGAGCGCAATTCTACGACTTCCGACACCATCACCGCCTAAAGAGTTACAGTGTTGTTCTAAGCACTGTCAATAATTACCGTCAGTAAATCGACCACTTCAGTCAGATTGCTCACCGACTGACACGCCTGCTCAGCAAAGACGCCACCTGGAGCTGGTATTTGTAGTGTGAGCTGGCTTACACTAAGCTCAAGAAATGCGTGACAGCGGAGCCCATCCTTAACATCTACAATGCCTCCAAGCCTTGAGCATTATACTGCAATGCATCCAACAAAGGGATCAGCACAGTTTTGAAGCAGGCTGATGGTGAAGATACAGAACATCCTATTAACGCGATAGCGTCAGAGAGCTCGTGTCGTGGAAATCCTGCCGTCGGTATCAGTCCCGTTGGTTGTGAGCGAAAAATCGTCTGTGCACTGTGACCGAAAAATCAAGATACCAAGATCGCCGCAGGAGGCCGTTACTTGTCCACGCGTGCGTGCCCGATCACACTGAAAAAGCCGCACATTCGAAAAAAAAAATATTGCTCAAAGTCCAGAGGCGCGGTAGTTTCTTTGCCCCTGCCACCCCTTCTTGCTTAGCTTCCAATGCTTTTGTCGGGATGAGAGAAAAGATAATGCAATTGCAGCATGCGACAAACCTTTGTAACTCCACTTACACTGGACGGATTCTAAAATTTTTTGTGGCGTTGAATTCGTGAGGCAATAAGCTCTTCTAGTGAATTCATTCCATGGTTACATGAAGAAGTGTTTCAGGGCCCCTTTAACACATTTCGTTCGGCAGGTGTAACGACGAAAACGAGCTCATTCGGCGATTTGTAGGCGCATTTGGGAAGCCTCAAACTACGTCGCAAAAGGCCGGGATAGGATAGTGTAGCAATCGCCGCTAAAAACGCACAGGAACTTTCAGACAGCTCTAAAAATGGGCAACTATGCCCATATAGCGGAAAACATATCATACCTTTCCAAAGGCGTTAATCAAGCAAACAGCAAACGCTAGATAATGTGCCACTATCTGTGAGGCATTGTGAGACTCTTTATGGCCTTCGATATGGCGAGGGCGTGGCATATATCTCAGAGGCCATGCGACTCTTGCTTCAGATCAAAAACCTGTATGTGCCAATCGCGCACGCACGCTGGTATGATCTACTGTGTGCGTATGTGTGTGCGTGCCTGTATATGCATATAACACAACATATTAATAAGCTTGCACTTAGCGGTTGAAGGTGCACTAGGGGCCAGATTTTGCTATCGCATTCAACTCTTAAAGGCCAAGCTTAAAGGTCTCCTAACTTTTGCATACCATTTACACAAGTTACTAAAACATAAAATGAATTATGCCATCACATAACTTGAATGCTTAGAAATTATTCACGCCGTTGATAAACGGCACTGTTATTTACACAGGAAGCCTTTCCGTGTTATCACGAACCACGCAGCGTTGCAGTGGCTTAAGAGCATCAAGAATCACCGAGGTCGACTATTCCAAGGGTGTTTGAAACTCTCAATGTACAATGTGAACATCAAGCACCAAAAGGGCATTGACAACGTCGAAGCCGATGCACTGTCTCGAAACCCGATAGTTCAACTCTTATCTCTTGAGCAACTATGGGTGCATCACAATGACAAACTATCCGGCAAGCATACAATTAAGAACAGACAGACCATAGTGACATGCAGATGGATACAAAAAGTCTTATGTCCCTTTTGCCCTCCAATCTTCTCTTCTGCAAAAAGTTCATGATGCTTTCGGTGATGTTGGTATGAAGAAAACATAGCGGCTTCTCTCTCTATAGTACTATTGGCCTGACATCGTCTCCAATGTGTTCGAGTACATTTGTCATAGCGATACCTGCCAGCACAACAATAAGTTAAAAACCAAATGCTTTGGTTCTTTGGAGTCTCTACCACCAGCGGATAAACCAGTTGATCTTCTGACCATGGACATTATCAGATGTTTT